ATAATACAAAGTTTGTTCATGTTATTATTTTATTACAATGATAAAGTAGTATGTATAAATATAAATACACTAAATCATCAGAATAGGTATGACATTAATGCTCAGATGTATTAAGATGTATACTATGAAATCTTGATAGATCAATGTTCAAAAAGGCTGGAATAAGCACTGTATGTCATTCATATTTATGTTTCATTCTAACATTCCTAGAAGAATACTAATCCCATACAGTAGCATCCTCCAAGGGCTCTCTGAAAAATCTAAAAAACAATGAAACATTGTATTATTCTGTGTGAAAAAGAAAAAGGTCCTAGGTTCAAATAACCTAATTTTTTAGGGTCCTCATATTTTATACTACTGAACACCACCTCTCTTTAAAGCATTAAGCAGTCCCATCCTTTAAAAGGCTTATGCCATGGCTGATTGAAAGAGTGCCCCCAAATGTCTCTCTATTTCCAAGTGAGTGCATTGTGGCATTTTTTTTTTTGAAATCAATGCAAGGAACCAGAAGAGGTATGCTGTCTAGAATATCACTACTATCTATTTAATTGATTACTAAAATTGGAATAGTGGGAGGAGACACTAGATGTACTTCCAAACTTGCAAGATCTTGTTACTATAATTTTTCAATAAAATTAGAGCTAGTGCTCATTAGGCTGATGGTTTTTAACAGTATTACTTCCTTTTGCTACTTTGTGGCAAAAGATCCAAAAGATCCTCTATAAAATTAATATTCAAATAGGAAATTATACATTGGCATATTTAATACCGAACAAGTTGAAGTACCATCCATTGTCCTGCAGAAACACAAACAATTCTGATAGAATAAAAACATTGTTCTTTCTCTTTCATAAATATAACTTCAGAATGGCCTTAAAAGATCTCAGGATACAAGAGGCCTTTTTAAAAACTGAACAGTACAATACTTCTTTTTTTCCTCTCATCATTGATCAAAAATGACGGGATTTGTTTGTTGTCTTCCATAAACTATTATTTATCTGCAGTCTATTCTGCATCCTTCAAGAGCACATGAATAGGTTTATCTCACTACTCCTGATCTGGTAATTTGTGAAGTTCAGTAGAATGTCTCTTTATGTTTGAAGAACAAGGCTCCAGTCCATAATAGAAGAAATATATCAAGCCTGAATATTTTTTTTTAAAAAAAATAGGGATATACAGCTTTATATTATTTAAGTACTGAAATCATAACATGCCTAGTAATAAAAAAGAGCTTGTTTCAATTGTCCTAGTAAAAGTATAGCAAAAGTATAGCATTGTGGTCAAGGGTAATATTGTTATAGAGATTGGTTTAGTTATAGAGATTTGTTTAGTTACCTATGCCATGTTGATATTATTTATAACTAAAATATATAACTAAATAATATTATTTATTATGTTGATATTATTTATAACGTTATTCTAAATAATCAAAGCCCCTGTCCCACAGTCAAGTTTTAACTTCAGTGGTCTGCAAAGAATCTACATTCTTTCACTATCTTCCACCACTTCATTCACTTCTAGTATATCTTTTTATTTATTTTATTTTATTTTCTTCTCTTCTTTTCTTTTCTCTCATTGTTATAATGATCATCTATACTAGATTAATTGTATAAATTGGTAAGAAGTAAGACTGACCTTTATGCAAGACATTAAAATAAAGGGTGTTGTATCCCTGAAGCACTATAAATCAAAGGTAAAGACAGGTTCAGATTTGACTAGCTCATAGGTATATTTGCAAATTTAAACTAAATGTTTCTAGGACTGGTTACATGATAGATCTCACTCTCTCTTGCTGTCTTTCTGTGTGTTTTGTGTGCCTGTGTAGTTTTAGATGGTACTTTTATTTAGTTGCAATTTAGCATGGACTACAAAACTAGTGCTGCAGTGAGAAGCTTAATGCAAATTGCATTTTTGCAGGCAAAAAGTGAATGTTTATATGCTACTCAGTAAATCCTCTCCAAGGATGCTGTATCTTTACCAGCAAATCTCAACTGCATTAGTTAATACTTAAATGCTAGTTTTTTTCCTTGTATAAGAAAAAAGAAACAGACACACAAATGTTCTAAAGATTCACAGGCTTCTACAAAAAAAAACCAACATAAATGATTTTGGATCCTTGTGCTTTACTTCTCCTCAGAATTAGACCTTATAATTAGAAAACAGCTTCTTCAAAAGTTATCTTTTCTGAAATGAATTGATTCTGAACGCATTTTCTTAACCCAAGTATAAAAGTAATTTCTGCTTAATGGTGCCACAAAAATTATCTCTAGGATTTACAGTTAGTTGCAACTTCAGCTACAGAATTCATAGTTACACTAGACTTACAGTAAAATGTTTTGCTGGCTTACAAATTCCGCATAAATAACTTCACAATTATTTTGCACTTTTGCAGTGTAAAAGAAAATCAGAAAACAGAAGAAACAAGCATAAACTAAAAATACATTGTGCTCAGATGCATGTGTGAAAAATATGCATACATTATTTTCCTCCACTTTTTCCTCTGTTCTCAGCATAAACAGTCTAAGATAGAAACTGAGAATTAATGAATTTCATAACTTCCTTATCTGGTCAAAATAATCTCATAAGAATTCCTTTTCATGCATAAATGAATATCAGTTGCCAAAAGTCTGAATGTTGATCATCAGGATCCTGCAATGGTAAGTTGGTCATAGGTCATTGTAACTTTGAATGGTAGCTAAAAGAATTGTTGTAAGTTGAGGACTGCCTGCATACTGTGGGGAAAAAATGTATGGTTTACCAAAATTTAATAAAAATATTCAAGTTATAATGAGAATTTAACTTTCAAAATTTGTTTCATTATATGAATTATTTTTTAAAATTGCTCATCCTTACAACAGTGCCATCGTGCATAAAAATGACTTTATCTGCTTGTTATATTTCTAATTTTAAAAAAAATGAATTATCCAATTAATTATCAGTAATACGGAATAATTTAGAAAGAAAACATCCTTACCAATTTACTGTTAGAATGATATTTACAGCAAATATAGTATTCTTATTCAATTGAAATTTCCATTTTTGCATTTCTCTTACTGCATTCAATCAATCTTTTTCAAAACTGCAACATGATATGTAATTTCAAATTATCAAAGGATTTTTCTGCATCAAGAAAAATAATAATTTCAAAACTTTTAAAATTTAATTTAAATTTTTTTTATCTCGCTGAGAATATTGAAATTTGTCTAAATTATTTATCATGTACATCTTCAGGACAAATCAACCATAACAATACAAGAGCACACAATAGATACAAACTCAAGGTTAACTGCACCAAACTTGATTGCAGGAAATACGACTTCAGCAATACAGTGGTCAATGTCTGGAACATTCTACCTGTCTATGTGGTTTCTTCCCCAAACCCCCAAACCTTTAAACTTAGACTGTCTACTATTGACCTCACCCCTTTCCTAAGAGGTCTGTAGGGAGAGTACATAAGCACACCAATGTGCCTACCATCCCTGTCCTATTGTTTTTTTTTTTCTTATATGTATCCATTTCATGTATTCGTAACTATGTTTATATTTATACCTGTTATCTTATAATTGCTTGGCAAAATAAAATAAATAAATAAAAAATCAATAAAATCCATTCTGATCATTTCAGTCATAAGTTCACTTATTTTCTTATTAAGGATTGCCATCAACAGCTTTATTCAAAAATAGGTCTGTAGACTTAAGACAGTTGCAAGTTTTTCTTTGTTTATAAATCAAAGAAATGAAGACTTCCTTCCATAAAGAGAGAAGTTCTTCACCTTAACAGTAATCCTAAACTTAATCTCAAATGAATGAAGCATATTATTGTAAGAATTTTGTGAGAATGTTTACTTCAAAGAATGGTGGGAATGAAGGAAAAATGAAAAGTAAAAATAAGCAGGATTGTTTTGTGTGCTCTTCTTTTAATAATTACTTTTCATATTGTCTATCTTTTTTTAAAAAAATCTTTGTGTGAGCACTCCTTTTTCTTTAGTAGAGTATGTCCTGCTATTAAGCATTATATTATGAAGATATCATATTTTGCTCAACATATATGGAGATATATTCCAATTTCAATGAAATATATCTCAAAAAAACTTCTCTTGATAATATTTTAGACAACTCTTAAAAATATTTACAATACTTAAATCAAAATAATAATTGTATGGCAAAATAATAATTATAATGTAGTATACAATAATATTTATTTGGTCAACGACCAGCACAATTAAACATACAAAGCCACAATAAAAGCAAATGAGTGAGATAAGGTACTAACAAAACAATAAGTTGGAGTCTCCATAATAAAAGTATAAATTATGATACTATAATAATATGTTAATGAATTGTGTATTTATTATTTGCTTCAGAACTAGTACTGGAGATAAAGAGCACAAGAAAATTACATTTTCTGCTATCTATTTTAATACTTTTTTCCCCAGTACAAATTTATAGCCACTAAATCTGGAGAAAGATGGATGTGATATTAGGCTTTAAACCACAGGAGATAGGTGTGCCATGAATTTATTCACAAATAGAATGACATATTTTGATATACAACAGTCCATGAAGGGCTTTACTTTCTGCATTTCTGTCACTAAAATTGAGTTGGAAGAAGAGATATTGGTAACAAAGTAGTCAAATTCTATTATTAGTAAAATTTAATCAGCTATAATAGAACACATGCAAAACTAAGCATAAACAACCACAGGTATAGATCCCAGTTCCCTAAAGATGAACATCAAATGTTTAAGGAATGCAGTTGCAAAGAGGAGCAAATAGTCATCATTCCACATGGAATGATAAGGCAACAATATGTATGCATAAAACAACAGAAAAACTTCAAATCTCATAAAAGTAATCTACGAATAAAAGCTGGGCCAACAGATATCAAGAAATTACATACAAGATATCCATTATTCTAATGGAGCATGCTATCACACAACTTTCATTAGAAAATACATGTATTTAATGCATGCATGTTAAAGATATAACTTATTTACTTACATCTGAATTAAATCTCAATTGGCATATGTTGCAAGATATGATTTGTTTTCTTCTGTGAGGAAGAGGAACCCCAAATGTATGATTTATTACAGCTTTTTGAATTGGATCCATCTGCAATAAGAAGGGGAAAAAGTTGTTTTCTAGGCATTAAGCTACCACGGTGAACAAGATTAAATTAAATTTGTGCACTTCCCAAATATAGGGCCTATACTTTTTGAATATGTTTGCACAAAGATAGGTATGCATATGCATGTGTGTTTATACCTGTGTTTGAATGTACCAATGAAGAGTGAGAAGGGAAGAATAAATGAAGAGAGTATGAATCAAGAAGAAGACTAAGACAATTGAAGTTAGATGGAATTCAGATCCTCAGAAACAGAGTTAAAACATTAAAGGTTAAAAACAAAAGATGAGGTAGAAGGAAAGACAATTTATAACTATAGAAAAGTACAAACTATTGGGTAAATGATCTTGTTGTGAACTAAGTCTAGATTTAGTTTGATTTCCTTGTCTTTAATGCCTTTCTTTAATTTTCTTTGACAACTACTCATTTTTTTCAGTCCTTTGTAATAATTGCTGGTATATCGATTATATCAATTACCACATCAAATCCTATAGATACTGTATATGTTGGGAACACTGTCTTAACTTTTACCTAGGATGTTAATGGATGAGAAACCACTCCTGGTAGAAAGCTCTAAGAAAAACAGTAATTTTCTAACATAATTCCAACATTTTCATTTGTTTACCATGATTTCATTAAATGTTGCAATTGATGGAGTTATATTTGGAAAAATAATTCTGTCTTGTTAAATCAAAGTGAATTTGTCAAAGTAGAAATGTCCACATCAAATCCACTTTTCTTGACCACTTTGGTTAACATGCGGATCTGTTTATATAAAAATCCAAACATCCTATTGAATAGATATCAGCCACCAAAATAAAAATTTTCAAAAAAATAGGAGAGGTAGGATAAAAGTTTGAAATTAATTATCCAGAAAAATTAGAATATACGAAGAAGGCATGAGCAAATTTAGTCTCAAAGAAAAAATTCCTATTGTGAAAAAAAATGATATGAATACAGACACGCAGTTTCCTCAAGTCTTTTGGTTTCTGTTGATTTTGACTGGATCCCGAACACTCTTTGTAGGAAAAGAAGATCACAGAAGGACTCTAGTTACACAGAAAAATTATCAAAGCAAAGAGCTTTTGTAATTTAATACAAGAAAAAACAAAATAGAATAATCAAGACTCCACCTACAGATTAGGATGAACTTAACATAAACAAAGTTATGAGATCTGTTTCTCTCAGCTTTACTGTTCTAATCAGACTGCTACAGACTAATTTGTTTAGATAGGAAGGAATATCTTATTTTTCTCTTGCCTTACAGAGTGATGCAGATATGTTGTGAATGCTGATTTACAGCTAGCAATCATATTTAAGAAAAGAGAGGAAATTGATCTTAGGAAGTTAAACATTGTTCACTTAAGTCCTGGATGGGAAAAAAATGCTATATGGTTGATTTCAAAGTACAGGATGAACTTCTCTGATTTTCAGGTTGTCTTAAAGGCATCTAAGAATAAGATACAATAGGATCAATCAATCAGATTAGATCTGGATGGGACCTTCTATGGCTTCTAGTCAAAGAAGCAAGCAAACAAACAAAAACACTAGTCCTAGTAATTCTAGTTGTGGTGGAGCTAATGACTCCAATCTAATTAAGGTATTTTCAGCAAGCCCTTGGATGCCTTGCTTCAGTGGTGATATTCAGCCAGTTCACACCGGTTCAGGTAAACCAGTAGCGGCAATTTGCCTGGGTCACCAAACTGGTAGTGACTTCTGGATGGCCACGCCCCCACTCCCAGTCGCCCATTGCCACTCACTCATCCCTTCCATCTACTTGACGCTCACCCCACCAAACCACCCTATATCTGTTGCTTTCCGTATGCCACCTAGCTCACCCCACCCCACCACCCTATATCTGTTGCTTTCCACCTTGCCAGTTGCCTCACCGATGCCCAGTGAGCTCAACTCACCAAAGGTAAGCAATGCATGCTGCCCACTCGGCCTTCACCTTGGGTTGGGAGCTGGAGCCCCAGGGATGCACCATTCCCTGAGGCCCCAGAACTGCTGCCCGCCTTGACCAGATTGGGGAATGTGCCATTTCCTGGCTCTGGCCTTGCCCCAGAGTTGCTGGCTGTTCGCTCTCTCTTAAGCATGACACATTGCCCCATTTCCCCTCCTTCAGAGGGCCTAGCCCTTAATCTCCCCAGTTCATCCTATTGCCATGACCTTACCTTCCTCCCACGGCTGACTGCCAGGGAAGAGAGACATCATTGCCACTGGGCTCCCCACCAGCCCACATCTCGCACCCCTTGTTGCAAGATGTCTGTAGCTGCTGTGTGGTTTTTTGGTATAGCTGCACTGAAATTCAGCCGCACACACACAAAAAAGACGCAGTGGCTGCAGGCTTCTTTCAGCGAAAAGTACCAACCTCCAGCCTTTGGCTATGCTCCACTTCTCTAACGTGCCACTGCTGCTCTGTTCTATGTGCCAGCTATGCAGGCACACCCCATTGCCTACTGCCACTTTACCTAGGGACTTGCCCAGGCAAGTCTGAGCAGAGCAGCAGAGCAGGCAATGGGGTGCACCTGCACGGCTGGTGCATAGAACAGGGTAGTAGTGTATTGGAGAAGTGGAGCAGAGCTGGAGGTCAGTAATTTTCGCTGTAAGAAGCCTACAGACACCGCCCCACCCCTGTGTGGGAAACCACATCCCTACCTATTCAGGCTAATCCTGGAGCAAAAATGCCCCCACAAGAGGCTTGCCTGAGGCCCGGGGGTGGGGGGAAACCAAGCGTGGGGAGGTACTGCATGAAGGAGGAGGAGGAGAAGGAGGAGGAGAAGAAGAAGATTCTAAAGAGACTGTATAAGAAAAGGGAGTTAAAGGATGCAGGTTAATATATGCTACCTTAGCTATAATTAATCATGATTTTATATAATTTATACTGTAATTAAATGTGAAGTATATAATTCATATAATTATAACATGAAAATTATTCCATTCATACTTCCATTTTCAGGTATTGTAAGCAGGTCATCCAAGTTGAGAAAACAATTTTTTTATCATGGAAATGTTTCTAAAATACTGTACCAGTATCTATGGTTTTACCGTTTTGCAGCTATCTTTAGATAAAGAATGAGTTAATACATTTCCAGATATTAAGTTTATCTTAGGTCTTTTATCTTCTTTTGAAGATGTTGAGTTGTTTCCACCAAAAAAAGTAAATTTGGCAGTGGTAGATGAACTCCTGTCCTCAACTTTGACAATAATCAAATAGATTGCTGCATGTTAGCTGTTGAAGGCACAGGGAGAGTGCAGGATTGCAGGAGAAAATCAGTAGGAAACCCTCTGCGTGTGCACAAAGCACACAAAGTGTGCAAAACACACCCACAAAGCCATGCCCACAGAACCGGTGGTAAAAAAAAATTGAATCCCACTTTTGATCAAGATGTTTTAATGTGAGAAAACACAATCTTCTACAAAATTGTGTCTAATCCCAGTATCAATATCCTAGAATTGGTGATAAAGGAAACCTACAAGCTAGAATAAATTAATAATGCTATAAGGCAGAAACAAATGTCCAAAACCTGTGATGTTGTCTGCATCCATCCAAAATCAACAGGAAAAGTGTCTGAGGCTCTTCAGACCATAGAAGTTGCCACCGAGGGCCCACTTACAATCACCCATTTCAATTGAGCTGAGAATTCAAATTTTACTTTAGAGAATTCAAAGACATTTGTACTCTAAAAAGCAAGAGTCACAAAAAGTTAGCTGCCACAAGCAGAAAAAACAAATCCACTAGAGCTTTTTTGTTTTGCTTTGTTTTGTTTTAAATTGCTTATTTCATTTTATTGAAGAAAATAGTAATGTATAGATTACAGAGGAAGCTATGGCTATACGGTTACCTCATAGTTAGAGTAAAATAATCCAATTAAGTGATCTGATAAATCACTTCTCTCGAGAATATGCACACCGAGCCATGAATGCACATATAGCCAGAAGCAGCTACAGAAGCATCTGCATGATTCTTGCAAATAATATGCTTGGTTAATTATTTAAAGAAAGATACTTTATTCACATTGCTGTATATTGCAAAACAACTCTTTCAAGATGCCTTTCAACAATCCTAACCGTTTTACACACTTGCTCCCAAGCAAAACAGATAATTCTTTCATAACTTTTGTTTTGTCTTTTTGATTGTCTCGTTTGCTGCTTACTTTAAAGAGTTATTTAGAAATGCGAATTACACTACTATACGCATCATAGTGCTTTTGCCAAAAACATCAAAGTCATAGTCATGGCCGTTACCAAATTGCAATGAGAACATATCAATATTTCTTAAAACTAATTGCTAGCTAACAGACAAATACCATATTTATATCAAGTGGCAAAAGCAATATTACATAAGCAGTATATGATAATGCCTGGACAAATAGCCAACAATAGTTATTTTAATGACAGAACAGCTACAGCCAAATAATAGCTTTTTAATGACAGGATTGCCTTTAATCATTAATGGCAAACTAATATAGAATCCTTGCAGAAAATCGCCTAATATACTACCAATACAATTTATTATTTATTATTCAAAACATTTGTGAATGTGCAGAAATGGAAAAAAATCACACTAAAATTAAAAGGAAAAGAGGGGGCGGAATTTTACTCGACCTGGAATAAGTGGTATGATTGGCTAGAACATAAAAAAAAGTATAATCCAACAACAAATATTAACAACAGAACATTATGTTTGATAGAATATGAATAACAGAGAACTCATAGGAAATAAGATATAACTGCTACATAATATAATTTAGGAAATATTTAACACACTGTCAAATGTATTGAAGGAAAGTTTAATTAGTTTTAGCACAGAGATTATGGTAACATTTGTCTGTATGAATCTTTATTTTTTGAGTCTGTATATTTGTATATTTTAATTTTTTGTATTCAATAAAACTGATTAAAAAAAAGAATCCTTGCTGGGGCTAGAATATGGTTTATAGACCCCATTACTTTCTATATGATTAGACCCTACAGGAAACATTCT